TTTGACATCGGTGAGGCAAGTATTCTCTTATTAGTCTTTCTCTGCAAAATTCAACTGGCTATTCCCGTACGTTTACTCTTCTACATAAAGTTTGAGATGATTTTGATTCAATATTAGATATTGTTTGGATTCCAACTGGAGTTGTGCTAAAATTGTAAGATAACATCGGGGAAAGGGATATTTTTATGATGTTTTCCTATCTAAGGTCATTTTATGTCTGACGGTTTAATTCTTCTTTCAGTTCTTCAGTAAGGTTTTACTATTTGGTAAAAGACCCTGCAAATAAGTCAATAAAAAGTATATTTGAAAAACAATCCTTTGAAAGAAGAGGACAAGTAAAAGGTTTATACAATACAAAGGGCTCTTACACATTTATGAGAGAGAGAGCAATCACCTTAAGAAAAATGCTCAAAGGACAATAGTAGGTAATGTACAGAAGAGTAAATCCAAATTGCTGACAGACACGTGGAAAGATGCTCAGAGTCAGCCAAAAAGCTCTTCAAATTGGAGAAGAAATGAAGTATCACTTTATACCAGGGTTCAGTCTTGGCACTGTTGCCACACCACACAGGGTGACTCTGGGGGACCCCTGCCTTAGCACTGCAGGGTATTTAGCAGAATCCCTGGCTCTGCCCATTAGAAGCTAGGAGCATCCACCCCCAAGCATGCCTGACAATTACAAATCAAAAACCTCTCCAGACTTTGCCAAACGTCCCCTCGGGGGAACAAAATCATTACAGGTGGGGCGCCATCGACGGTCACGTTTCAGACTAGCAAAAGTTTACAAACTTGATTACACCTGGTGCTGGCAAGGATGCAGTGCAAAAAGAACACTTTCATTCGTTGCTAATAAAAATATGTTATTATAGCTTTTATAGAAAACAACTGGACAATGCCTATTAAATAAAGAATGCATACACCCTGACCCAGCTACCCTACTCCTGGGAATAAAGTCCATAAAAATGAAACAAACAATACCCAGACACAGGCTGTGAACTGCAGCACTGTTGCCAGTGAGCAAAACACTAGAAACAGCGAATGACCACAAACAAGCAGTGCTTGCCTAAATGACACTACACCCACACAATGGGGTATTAGAAAGAATTAGAGTTGAACTTTATAACAATGGAATGTTTTCTGTGAATTATTCCTGGGTGAGAAACAATTCCACAAGCTGCCTAATGTAAATTATTCTTCTTGCAAAACACACATCCCCTAATGCTTTTCTATGCAGAGAAAAAGATCCCCCAATATTCTATTTACGCCCACAGAATTGGCAAAAATACTTGCCTATCATATACTGACAAGGGCCTAGTGTCCAGAAAATATAATGAACTTTTACAACTCAACAAAAAAGACCAATAACCCAATTCAAAAGTGGGCAAAAGATTTGAAGAGACACTTCTCCAAAGAAAATAAACAAATGGCCAAGAAATACATGAAAAGCTTCTCGGTATCATTAGGCATTAGGAAATATTTATCAAAACAACAAGCAATACGACTTCCCATCCCCTAGGATGGATTTTTTTTTAAAGGGAAAATTGAAAGTGTTGGCAAAGACGTGGAGAAATTGGAGCCCTCCCACATGGGCGGTGGGAGTGTGAAATGGTGCTGGCTCGTGGGAAACAGTTTGGTATTACCAGTTTGGTAGATCCTCATAAATGTAGAATTATGAAGTGACCTGGCAATGCGACTCCCATACACCCCAAAGAATTGAAAACAGATATTCAAACACACTTGCACACAAATGTTCATAGCAGCATTATTCACAATAGCCAAGAAGTGGGAACAACCCGAACGTCCATCAACTGGTGAGCAGATAAACAAAAATGTGTTATATACATAAAGGGGAATACTTTCTAGCCATAAAAAGGAATGCAGTTCTTACACATGCTACAATGTTGATGAGCCTCCTAAATGTGCTGGAGGAAAGAAGCTGGACACAAAAGGTTACATAATGTATGATTCCACTTGTATGAAACACGCAATAGCTAACTCTACAGGGACAGAAAGCACATTAGTTTTTGCAGGGGCGGTGGCTGTAGGACATGGTGAACGCGCTAACACTTAAATATGGTTAATGGGTAATCTTACATTATGTGACTGTTACCTCAGCTTAAAATATATCCTGTTTACCTCTGTATTAGCTTCCTATTGCTACACAACAAATTACCACAACCCAGCAGCTTAAAAAATGAAGTAATTTAGCTCACGGTTCTGTAGACAGGTCTGTAGATGAGAAGTCCAGGCAGGCGTGGGTGGTTCTGTTACGTGGAGTTCCACAGGTAGAAAGTAGGGTGTTGGGCAGGCCACTCTCATGGGGAGGCTCTGAGGGAGAATCCACTTCCAAACTCATTAAGGTCGTTGGCAGAATTCAGTTCCTGTGACTGCAGGACTGACTTGCCTCATCCGCGCCGGCTGTCAGCCGAGAATCAGTCTGACTGCTCCAGGGGGACCCACATCCTTGCAACAAACACCCCAACAGCTGGAGCACAGTAAACCCAGCATCTCAGACTCCCTTCTGCTACCAACAGGAGAACATTCTCTGCTTCTAAAGGGCGCATGTGATTAGATTGGGCCCACCTGGATAATTCCACGTTGGCTATGTAATGTAACAATCACAGCTGAATTATCTCCAATTCATGGGTTCCACCCCTCGCTGGAAGGGGTGGGGATTATACAAGGGAAAAGATCATTGGAGGTTATTCACAGAACTCTGCCTGACCGCTTAAGGAAAAATAATAAAAACATAATCTATACAATTCAAAGAACAATTATTACTTGTTAATGCCCAACATTGCAAAAAGGATTTGAGATGCCTAATTGATTTATACCAAGGAAAGGTCTCAGAGGCAGTGACTAACAGACCGACGCAGGTCAGATCCCGACCCTGCTTTAGGGGGCAGAAAGCTGCTGAGGACGGGGAGGCACGCTTCTCCCTCTGGGGCTCCCCGGGTTCTCTTCCTCGGGCCTTCTCTTCAACTAAAGCTCTGAATGGAAACGCGAAGCGATGGCCAATTGTTCTCTGCAGTCAACAATGAGAAGTGGGTACTATGACTGGAGTTTAGGGGACTAGATAATCGTAATACCTGGGTTAGAAATTCTCCTTTTTGGTCTCGAGATTCTGGTTATAGGAGACCCTAAAGTCTTTCTGTTTTTGTGGATTATACCTGTTGACAGCTGCCACGTTAGATGTTAAAGATGAGAAGTCGTTTAAACACAAAAACACACACACAGTTTCTTAGCCTTTTGAGGGATGAGGTCATCACACAACATGTAGTCTCTAAATGGAAAAGAAAATAAAGTCTTAGTATTATTACAAAAGTCATTTGACCTTCTGAAGTCTGAAAAGTTCTCAGGGACCCGGTGACAGACTTAAGTACCACCCACTGCATTTCCTCAGGGATTAATCGACTCATTAATTTGGTTCATCACTTGTGCAACCTCAGACACGAATCTTTTCCTTTACTAGAGATGCCGGGGTTCTTGCTCACGCAGCTGAAGAATGAGCTTTACAAACACTCAAGGTAGGAGAGCAAGGGACAGGATTTTATTCATAGAGAAAGTGACAGGACAGAGCTCCTGGCTAATGCCAGGAGGGGACAAGGGAGTCCGTGGTGGTGCGTTGTCTAGGGGTTTGTTTTATAGGGCAGTTGAGGATTTTGGGGAACGTGAGAAAAGGCTTAGGGGTGTGGACTTGTTAAGTGGTCCCTAAATATTTAGAATTAACTTAAACTTCCTGCTCTGATTTCTCCCTGGGATACCGGTGTCTTGGTCTGGAAGCATATCAAAAGGCCGCCTGCACAGCTCCCAGTGTGGGCTGAGGTCTTGTCTATTTGCTAAAGAGTAAGTTAAGAATCTTACTTCTTAACTTCCTGGGTATTAAAATGCAATCTTATCTTTAAGGTGGAATCCTTCCTGCCTTTTACTATGTTGTCTACAGCTGGGCCTGCAGGTAAATTAGTTGCCCAGTTTGCAAATCATGTAATTAGGTCTGAAGGAGGAAAGACAGCACATAGGCCTGGGCCTTTAGCATGCTAAGGTGAATCTTACACATGATTACAAATGATCAGCATAATAAAAACATGTGCTGCTCATCTTTATCTGGGGAGTATTAACTGATCTCACTGAAGAATGACTCTAGAGCTGAATGCTTAGCATAGAGTTTTGGTAGGGGGTTTCCGTGCAGGTAGTTACATTGCTCTGACTGCAGATATCCTGCCTTGCTTTCTCCGGAGGCCCCCACCCGACTCTGGCTACACCCATGGTCCCTGTCTCACTAGTATATTGTTCCATGCCACAGACTTATTTTTGTGCTAGAAGCATCCTGCTTGCAAAAAAGTGTCATTGGCTGCCACAGGAGGAAAATTGCGCTGGATAGATTGTAACATCATTAAGACAAAACAGAGTTCAAAAAATGTTTTCTGTGGGCTTCTAGCAGGATCTGTTACTCTGCAAATAGCGCACCGGGAAAACTTTTAAACGGTGCCTCCAGGTCTGCAGCGGAGGGACTGGGACACCGCGGGGCTCAGCGAGGCAGGAGGCGGCGGATGAACCGAGGTGAAGGCAAGCACCGGGGATTTCTGTCCCGCTCTGTCCTTGGGCACTCTGCCAAGACCCCTTGATTTTTTTTTATAGAGATTTCACATCCTCGCCCTCCACGCTTTAGTGACGCAGGGTGTCCCGCTCGCCTCTCGGGGACAGGCTGTGTCCACGCGGGCCTCCTCCGCCTCCCACTTGCATAGGGTGAGCGAACAACGCTGCGCCCTCGGCCTGCACCCCGGCGCTCCTCTCCTCCGGCTTCCCGCGTGCCGGGCGTCCGGCAGGGCGGGCGGGGGCGCCGAGCTCGCCCCGCCCCGGTTCCCCCGCGCCCGCCCAGCGCCGCCACTGGCTCGCAGTCCCGGAGCCGCCGACCAATGGGAAGGAGCCAGGTTCCCGGCGCCTCTGCGATTGGCCGTGGGCCGGAGGCGGTGGCCGCGCGCGGGCGGGCGGGTCCGCGGACCGGCGCCCTTCGCGACCGCTGCCGCCCTGGGGCCGCGCGCGGGCCTCGCCGAGGTGGCGGCGGATGGAGGGGCCGGGCCCGGGGCGCTGGCCGGCGGCCGCTCTGCTGCGCGCGGCCCGGGTCCCGCGCTGCTGCTGGCTCCTGCCCACCGCGCTGCTGTGCGCGTACGGCTTCTTCGCCAACCTCCGGCCTTCCGAGCCCTTCCTGACCCGCTACCTGCTGGGGCCCGACAAGAACCTCACCGAGAGGCAGGTACGCGCGGGGGCACGTGGCCTGCGCGCCGCAGGCGGGGGGCATGTTTGGGTAAAAAGGGGGAGCTGGCAGGTTGTGCTTTGCGCCGGGAGATGTGAGCGTGGCCTGCGGGTGGGGACCCGATGCAGAGCGACCCGTTCCCGGCGGGACCGCCCCGCGCCTGCCCTGTGCGCCCCCGGCTGGCGGGTGTTCGGACAGGCGGCCGGCGGCCAGCGCCGGGTTTGCCCCGGTTTTAGCTGGGAGGCTGCGCCCGGGACCCGCTGCCCCGGAAGGGCGCTCGCATCGTTGCCGCTCACGCTTTTCCCTGCATCCGAGCGGTTGATCCTCAGCTACGTGGGGAGACCTCGGGGAGCCTCGGTCCCGCCGGTGTGCAGAGTGACCGAGAACACAGCCCACGGCCAGGGACTGGCTGGTGGGTTTTCTGTATGTGAGCGTTTGCGAGCAAAGTGCGTCAGAAGGGCAGTTGTCTACTTTAAAAATGTGTTTGGCCCTTAAAGAACCTGGTTAATCTCAGCTCCTGTTCTTTGAGTAAGAAAGACATGTTAACTGGAAAAAGAATCAAACCCGAGGTGCTACCCCAAAACCGAGGTACAGCAGATTCGGCGGCCTCTCCCCCGAGCAGGACCAAGGGCGGACACGGAGGCGTGGTGTTCCTTTCGGGATCCTGGCACACGGTGCCTCCCTGACCCGCCACCCCGCCCCCGTACCCCCCCTTGCCCCCCACGCACGCACTGCTTCCCGACCCCCGTCCCCCCTCCCCCTGCCCAGGGGCTGTGAGAGTCCCCTCCCACTCCGACCTTACTCCTCCTCCCAGGGGTTTTAGTCGAGCGCGCGGCCAGTGCTGGCATCCGAAAGCCCATCTGCTTTGTCACGTGCCCTGGGCAGAATGCCGCGGTGTGATATGTCGGCGTGCTCCCTCTCTTATCAGAGGACTTTCTAAGGTGAGTTAAACATGTTCAGAGTGTAGGAATAGAGCAGAGGTGCAGGCCCAGTCGTATTTGCTGATTGTGTGACAAAAACAGCACACTTAGGGTGGTGCAAACTGGACGAGGAAGAGGGCAGAGTTTGGAGAGAAATCTAGCGCTCTGGAAAGGGGTGTCATCTGTCTCCTCTACCGTTTTTGTTTTTGAAAACATTGCACCTGTTCTGCCTGATCTCAGGGCTTTGCAGAATTTGACTCTTACCTCCTTGACAGCCCCACCTCCAGCGGCACCCTTCTGCCCCGGGGCCCACGCTCCGTTCACGCTGACCTTGTAAGTGCTGATTTCAAGGCTCTCATCTACCAGCCTGTTCTTAAAGATGTGATCTCTGCGTGGAATGAGCTTCCCTCACATATTTAATGACATCAGTTGGCCTGTGACTCATCCTTGAAGGTCCATCTCAAGGCAGCAGCTCTGTATTCCTATTTCCCTGGCCGGGAAGGTGTGCGTGTATATTCCTCACTAGCTTCAGAACCAGAGAACAGAGGCTTGATTTTTTTCCTCATTTTTTTTTTTTGGTAATTGCCATACAGCTTGAAAACAGTGTTGTGCAGATATATGCTTACTAAATAGTTGTTTAAGTGTAATTTGATTCTAAAATAAAGTCTAAATCTGGTTAGAGTAAGCTTAAAACAGAACTCTTTTCCCATGACTTTGTGTATCTCAGAAGAAAGCACAGGCAACCTCTGATCCAAGGAGCTGTGCAAGGCACCTTAGGATAAAATCAGTTCCGTTTGCTCACACGCTGGATTCTACCTAAGATAAGGTATTGTCCAGGGCGTGGGAAATAGGAGTCCATTCTATATTGTACATCTTTGCAGGAAGTTTCCCTTCCTGATTCTAAGTATCCATCAAATGGGCATTTTCTGGTGTAAGTTTCTTCTGGGAGGCACTGAAAGCAAAGGGCTCTTCCAATGGCTGAGCTCTGGAGACTGTGTGGTCTTCATGAATGCCCTATAAAAGCACCTCAGTCCGGGTTGTAACAGCTGCTGCAGATGTTCTTGAGGTAATAAAAGGGTTTGTACTGGCTTTGTTCTCCCAGCGCCAGGGGGGTGGGAGCACGAGGGCCCTGTCCGCACCCAGCGGTCTTCAGGCCCGAAATCCACCTGGTCTCTGTCTCCGCGCAGAGCTCGGGGCTGAGCTCTGTGTAGAGTGACTGAGTCGGTGATAGCTTGTAGCTGGTGGGTGTGGCAGGACTAGCCTAGCGGCAGGCCAGTCACACCACCAGTTAGCCTAGGGGCCCGTGAGGATCCGGGCCATGGGAACTTGCATTCTCCCCACAGCCAACTGAAAAAGCCCACACAGGTGATGGGACTGAATTTCCCCCTGAGGTCTTAATGGTGCGAAGCTTGATTTGCTACTTAATATTTCTACTGTATCCCAATTTAAAAAATACATGAAAAAGAAAACAGCAAAAATGCCATTTTCTTATTACACACAAGCAAAAAGGACATCAGCATTGCTGAAATCCCACAGATGGTTACCCTGTCAAGCCTGTTGGGCAGGTTTACCCTCTTTACCTATTGCTGTGCCCCAAAGAAATGAAACCTAAAATCAGAGAAGCCAATCAAAAGTAGGATCAAGGCTTCCTCACCCTGTGGCTACAAGAATGGATGACGATTCCAAAACCTTTATTGAGCCATGTTTCCTCCAGACAGTGTGCTGGGGGCCTACTAGGCTGCAGGGAAGAATTTATTTCCGAGGCCACCCTTAAAGAACCTGTGAAGTGAGGGTTCTCAGCTCTGGCTCAGTTAAAAACTCGCCTCAGGGGGCACGAAGATTTGTGAAGCCCATAGGGAGATGCGCAGCAGCGGGCAGGGGCCGGGCCGCGAGGGCACCGGGGAGGCCGGCTGCACGCGGTGGCTCCGGGTAGCCTGGAGCACTGCTGCGCGGCCAGGCACGCAGCTAGGGCTCCCAGGGTGAGCGCGCCCCGAGTGCCGCCCCGAGTGCCGCCTGGGTGAGTGCTGAGGATTTGGAGGGAGGGGGAGCATCTTCCCAGCAGTCGCGGGGGTGGTGTTGGGACGGCTCTGGCTGGTAAGGGTGAGGCACTGGGGTCTGGGCAGGCTGTAAGGACAGCATATTCCGGGCCTGCTGCTTCACCAGCGGCTCCGTCCTCTCTCTGCCAGGTCTTCAATGAGATCTACCCAGTGTGGACATACTCGTACCTGGCACTGCTCTTGCCGGTGTTCCTCGCCACCGACTACCTCCGCTACAAGCCCGTGGTGCTGCTGCAGGGCCTCAGCCTCATCGCCACGTGGTTCATGCTGCTCTACGCCCAGGGGCTGCTGGCCAGCCAGTTCCTGGAATTTTTCTACGGCCTTGCCACGGCCACAGAGGTCGCCTACTACTCTTACATCTACAGTGTGGTGGACGTGCGTGTGTACCAGAGGGTCACGAGCTACTGCCGGAGTGCCACGCTGGTGGGCTTCACCACTGGCTCTGTCCTGGGGCAGATCCTTGTCTCGGGGGCAGGCTGGTCCCTGTTCAGCCTCAATGTCATTTCTCTTACCTGTGTTTCTGTGGCTTTTGCTGTGGCCTGGTTCCTGCCCATGCCCCGGAAGAGCCTCTTCTTTCACCACGTTCCTTCCACCTGCCAGGGGACGCATGGCCTCAGGGCACAAAATGGCGGCATCGTTACTGACACCTCAGCTTCTAGCCACCTTCCTGGGTTGGGGGATGTGGAGTCAAAAATCCCTCTCAATACAGAGGAGCCGGTAAGTTTAGCCTTAAATGTGTTATGGTTGCTCTGGGGGCGCTGGGCCAATGCAGACAGAACAGACAGGACACCCCACTCCCCCCAACAGCTAGACTTGTATTCATTTAGATTTCGGCTTTATCCTGAGTTGGTTCACTGGTTCATTCATTCACTGATTTGCAATAAGGTGTATTTATATTTGTGAAAACAAATGTATTTTCTTATCCTGGAGTGGATGACCTCGGAAGTCAGACTGGCCCCACATTATACAGCTGGTGGTAAAGTCACAGAAGCCACACCAGGGCCTGTCCTCTCTTTCTCTGTCCTCCTGTTATGTAAAGAAAGCTCCCAGGACATTTTGCCAAATGAATAGATGGAATGATGCCAGTAAATGATGAATATCTGCTCCCAGTTTGTGAATTGAAGCCCAAAGCAGTCAAAGACAAGTCGCCTTCCTCTCCTGTGTGCTAGTGACGACCACTACTGTGGAAGAGAATCACAAGGGGCGGACTTAAGATGATGAGGGATGAATGTTAAAAGTGTCTATGAAGCTGTCTCTTAGAAGAGAGGTAGGCATCAGAGCCACCCATCCATCCATCCTGTCTAGCCAGGAAGATTAACTGCCTCGCCCAGTCACTCACCCTTTTTTATAAAAGCTTTTTATCTTTCTGTCCAGTTAGAAGCGGCAGGGTTCATTCCAGTCACACAGAATCAGTCTTAGCTTTCCTGGGACACATTGGGAAATCAGCCTGTTCACATTCCAGGTCTGCAGCCAGTCTGCCAGTCACAACACTGAGCTCCGTGAGCTTGGAAGGCTGACGGAGAGCGAGGGACCCGCGTGAAAGCCGTCTCTGGCTCTCCACCCGGTCAGAGTGTCCCGGTGTGGCATCTGGTTTGCTCCTCTGCCTGCCCTGTTCTCACTCGCGGTTACCAGCTAGAATCTAGGTTATCGTCCGGCAGAGCCTGGGGTGAACTCATCATGGAAGTCGCCCTGGTTACTAGGGCACCGGTGGGCAGCATCAGGCAGACCCACAGGGTGAGTCGGCCTGAGATGCTGGGCCCTCCAGTCCGTTAGAGGGTTGCTGAGTCCACGGAGGGTTGGTGGAGGAGGGAAGAGAAGTACAATCATCAGACAGATCTTGTGTAGTAAAAAGAAAGAAGATCGTTTTTTTAATGTTTCAAATGTGTTAAGGCTTTAGCTAAAATTAATATGTATATAAAGGCACACTACATATGTACACATATATATCTAAAACACTAACATTGGACATAGTTCTGAAGATATTTATAGACCAGTGGGTTTTATATGAGCATGAGTAAGAAACATAGTAAACAGACATTTTATAGAGCAATCAGTACTATTCATAGGTATGTGTATGTTTTGTAGGTAACTGAAACAAAGGTTTTACAACACAATTCAGACACATTCCAATTTATTTTTCAGATCACTGCCCACTAAATCGGTCTTATTACCTACTAACAAGCTGTAACCTACAGTTCAGAAAACTCTGTCCTAGACCAATTTGTTATTTGTTGTTTTATAGATACACAAAATGTGTCAATACTTGACTTGCTGAAGCATTATAAACGTTTAGACTTTGTAAGTGATCCTAAGCACAGGTCATAGAAAAATCAGAGCATCTTAAAGTTACAAGGGGTGGTAGATTCTCAAGACTCTCAAGTTAGAGAGAAGGATTGGGCTCAGATTAGCAGCTTGTGCAGAGTTGCCCAGATGTACTCCTAAGCCTGATCTAAGGGCATATATGACCCGCTTCAGAAAGGGTGACAGCGTGGTCAGACCATCATGTTGTGTTCAGGTCAGGCCTACAGCATCATCAGCTCTGCTGCCGACACTGTATGGTGGGCGGTGCTGCCTGGCAACCGTTTGCGACTGAAACACTACTTTTCTTTGACAAGCTCAAAGGAAAGTCAGAACATGGGTACCGGGATGGCAGTGCTGTTTTAAGCTGACAGGCCCATAACGGGGCCAAAAATCATAACTGCATAGATTATAGTAAAGAAGGATGATGGGTGGTTCAATCCTGACTTTTATAGAAAGGGAAAACGATGTAGGAGCCCAGCCCACGAGGGGCCTCAGCATATGTGTGAGTTCCTTCCAGAGTGAGTCCTGCTTTGGGACAAAGCATGTTGACCTGTAGGAAAAACTACCACAAAGCCCAGATTTTCTTTCTTAACCAGGGAACTGAGTTCAGTCTGTGCTTGGCTGATAGCTGGGCCTGATTTATTTTAAGTTGCTCATCCGTTAGAAATGAAGTAAATAAACCACTTCTTTAGCACAGGGCTTGACATGTAATTAATACTGATAAATGATATCTGTTCCTATAACTACACCTGTATTCGCAAACTGGCCTCTTTTATGTTGGTGTGCATCCTGTGCATGTGCATTGGATTCCACAGAACACTGACAGCAGCAAGATGAGTGTGTCCACTTTGTGTTTGACTGTCATTCCCAGCAGCACGGGGTAGGGGATTGTGGAGAAAAGTAGGTTCAGACCCCAGTTCCAGCGCCCAACAGCAGGGTTTCCCCAGGGCAATTACTTAACTCTCTGAGACTTAGTTTCCTCATTCATGTATGTACCTTACAGGGTTGTTTCAATTATTGCATGAGGCACCATAGAGCTTTCAAATGAGTATTCATAATAGGTAATGTTTCTGTCCTTATCATTACACACGAATAATCAAGAAGAGCTTTGTACCTTTGCTCTAGATAGTTATTTGTGAGGCTGGGCATAATCTTTCCTTTGATGAGTGACCGGGTCTGCTGGGCTGATGGAGGCTCCCTGGAATCTGGTGCTAACTATCCCCTGATTCTTGAGTCAGGCCTCTTGACTGTGGGGACTGTTCGAGCAGGTGATCACGAAGCGCTCCTGAGCCCTGAAGTCCTGAGTCCTGAGCCTCACCTGAAGGCATTCCATCTTGTCTTCTTCCACTTCGCAGCATGACACAAACCGCCTTTCTCCTGTCCAGGCCCCCATGTGTGCAGGAACACATAATACTATAGAAGCGGCTTGATTGTAGCCATCAGTCCTTGGCTTAAATCTTCACAGTTGAGGCATGAAGCACTCATTATCTTTTCCTGTGTACTTTCCTACTGTATGTGGAAGAACATCCCAGACTCCCGTGGCTTACAGGACCCCATACGATCTGGCCCCCGCTACCTGTCTGGCCCCGCCTCCTGCTGCGCTCCACGAAGCACGGGCCTGAAACACAGCGAGCGTGTTCCCACTCAGAGCGTGAATCGAGAGTCTCTTTGGGCCAGGACTGCCTTCATTCTGACTCCCATGGCTGGTTCCGCTGTGTCACTCAGGTCTCATCACGTCAGACCGCAGCTCTTCAGAAAGCCATTCGGCACTTGGCAGTCGTTACCTTTCCATACAGTCACTTGCTAACGCTTTCCTTCCTACTAGTGTTCCCACGGTAAGCTCTCCTGTGGGTGTGATTTTCATCTGTCTCCTTACTAGCATGTAAGTTCAGAAGGCAGGGGCTTTTCGGCCAGTTTTCCAGTGTTTAGAACATGGGGCACACAGCAGGGGGACTCGTGATACGCGCTGGTTGCAGTGAGTGACTCACGATTAAATAAGAGTACAAGGGAAACCAACGTAAAGCACTTGCTGCATGTTTTCCAGTGTTTAGAACATGGGGCACACAGCAGGGGGACTCGTGATACGTGCTGGTTGCAGTGAGTGACTCACGATTAAATAAGAGTACAAGGGAAACCAACGTAAAGCACTTGCTGCATGCTGAATAATACTCATTTTATTCTCCCAGTAGCCTGTTAAAATAAGCATTAATTCCCATTTCATAGACAAACGCCTATGACTGGGAGATGCTTCTCACCCCTGTGCAGGCAGGTGAGCTCTTGCTTCATGGTCCTGTCTTCTCAGCCCCGTTGGCTCTGACCAGGGTGCTGATCCTGTGCTATGAATCTGGTTCATGATCTCATTTAATTCTTGGGAAAACTGATGCTGGTGTCGCTGTCTCCATTCACTGGTGAGGGAACCGAAGCTACGTCAGGCCACCTGCCTACAGGTGCACAGGGAGTGGCGGTCATAACCACTGCAGTGGATGCCGCCCGCCATCCTTGGTGGACTGAAGTGATTCTCCAGGCTTTTTCTTCAGTAGTGTCAGACCCTTTCTTAAAATGAAATCGGAAACTAGATGCTCATCATGAAAACAAGTAGAAATGGAGTGTAGGGAGGGCGTTAAGCAGAAGGAGGAAACAGCACTCATTGCAGGCAGATTATCCTAGCATTTTAGGGAGAAATGGCCTGTATTCACCTGTCTGCAACAGTCACCTTACAATATATAGGTAATAAATATATCATCTTAAGAGGGGATAAAAAAATCTCTGTACTGCTTTTATAAAAAATATTCAAACTTCATTTTTAAATAATACAGAAAACTAGATTAAAAGAATTCAAAATCATCTGAACTGTTATCAGTATTAATATTTTAGTAACCTTTCCAAACATCTCTTCATATAGATGTATATATACATTGTAGAGTAAACGAAATTAAATGGAATTTTATTTAAAATAAAAAAATTTTGTTTTTTATTCATTGTTAATGTAATACTCATCTTTCTATGTCTTTTCAAGTCAGAATAGCCTTCAGACTCCAAAGAAGTGAAACCCCAGTGGTGCAGGTGCCTGGGAGGCCTCTCCTGGGGTGGGTTCTCCCTCCCCAGCAGGGGGCCCTGGGGCCTAAAGCCAGAAGCCTATGGGACTGTACGAAGGTCATTGTTTTTTATTTTTTAACCTCATCTGTGGTCACAAACTCTTCCCGCTGGCTATTTCCAGTCAGGCCCTGCTGTAGCTGCCTCAGCTGAGGTGGAGGGGTGGGGGTGCAGCCATATGTGGCATACCTGTCCCCTTTACAGCCTGATGCCCTTGAACTTGAGAAAAGTGTCTCCCCTGAAGGAAGAGTAGTCAGGGCGTCTTGTACCAGCTCCTAGCGAGCTGCTAATGCCCAGGCCTCCAGGAGATGCCAGGCTGAGGAGCAAAGTGAGTGGGTGGCAGGCAGGCAGGAGTGTGTCCTCCAAGTCCCCGGCTTTGGGCAGAACCACCTGCTGCGCTTCTGCTCTGGTGTCCTTTGCTTGGGATGCTGTTGTGCGTTTTCTCCCTATTCGATCCTTACCTGTCCCCAGAGTCCTTCTCAGATGCCAGTTCTTCCATGGTGTGTATTCTGGCTTCTCCCTGAAGCTGGCCGTGCTCTGTTCGTCCCCACCGGCTGTGGCGCGCTCCGTACGGCTTCACTGCGTTCCGGGTGATGGGATGTCCAGGGGAAGGGCAGTCCTCTTTTCCCCAGGGGAGAGTGTCCGGTGTGTATGGGAAGAGTCAGTGTCAGGATTGTGTCCTTCCAAAGCACTTAATGAAAGCAGCAAACTTTTTCTTGAAAATTTCCATCCTAGCCACTGCTCTGACTATAGACGCGTCTCCCTCTGCGTAACAGCTGAGGAAGCAGTGGCAAAGAATCACGAAATGACATGAACTTGATATTGTGAACACCCCACCATCCCTGTGGAAAGGTTCTACTTAAAGGAGAGGGGCGGGCAGCAGGAGGGAGTGGTCATGGGACGTCTGGAGGGTCTCAGGATGCCAGGCACGTGGCCTCCGACCAGGGCGGCAGGCCGACTCCTGCCTCGCGCGTGCTGCTTCACGGCCACGTCCCCTGTGGTCCCTTTGGGTCCCTTCGTTTTGCTTTTACATGTTGCCTGTGCTCTGAGCAGGGCTCAGGAGTCAGGGCGGACTTTGCTAGAGGAGGCCTGATAACACTGGGGCCAGAGACGCCTCCCTGGTGCCTGGAGTTCGGCGTGACTTCACGGAGGTGGTGTGCAGCTCAGTCATGTTCTGGTTCGCTCGTCGTGAGCGCGGCAGCCTCACCACTTCGCTGTAATAGTCATAGTTCCCATTGTATGAATATTGGGCGATATAAAAGCATAAGGAAGAAAACAAAATCACCAATCATCCCGCCGCTGGGTGGAGCACTGCTGGTCAGGTCTGGCCTCTGCGCTGCCCATACTGCCCACGGCTGCTTGGTGAGCCTGGGCGCTGGTTCCAACGCGGCCTCCCGCTGACGGACTCGGGCTGCAACGGGGTCTTCCTGGCTCTTGTTACTGGTGCTTCCGTTGCGTGGGAAGGCGTGGAATGTCACCTCCCTGGGCGGAAGCACTGATCTCTGACCGTCTTTCTACCTTCACTTCGTAGATGACACATCCTTTGCTGGGTTGATGGCTCGGGGCTGTGGGAGTGTTTATAGGGCAGTGAAAACTTCGTGCCACAATGTGCTTTTTTCCACAGAAGGAGTAAATGTAACTGCTAAGAAATGTGTGTGTGTATAAGAATAAGCAGGTGGTCTTTTCGTTTCTTGAGTTTTTTTTTTTTATTAAGGCATCATTCATATACAATGTTATGGAGGTTTCACATGAGCAACGTTGTGGTTACTACATTCACCCGTAATATCAAGTGCCCCCCACGTGCCCCATACAGTCACTGTCCACCAGCACAGTAAGAAAGCAGTTGGTTTTTACGAGGAAATGGAGAAAAGCCCGTCAGGCAGGATGTCGAGCCTAGGCACCTGCCTTCGTCCGGTCGCTGTGGTGACGGGGCTTTCTTCCCTTCCCTGCAGGAGCCCCAGCCGGGCCTGCTCCTGGTGCTGAAGGTGCTGTGGGCTGACTTCCTGGCGTGTTACTCCTCGCGCCCTCTGCTCTGCTGGTCTGTGTGGTGGGCCCTGTCCACCTGCGGCTACTTCCAAGTCCTGAACTACGCGCAGGGCCTGTGGGAGAAGGTGATGCCTTCCCGACAGGCTGCCATCTACAACGGCAGCGTGGAGGCAGTTTCCACCTTCCTGGGTAAGCCGTGGCTGGGGGGGCTCCTTCTGGTTGATCCTTCACTCATTCCAGATTTTCTCTCCCCTTCCAAATTTGAAGGGACCCCGAGGAGTGATTTATTTTGAGCTCTGATTTCTTAACTCGGGGGGACCATCTGTAAGTGCTTAGGTGGAACACAGCCAACTTGGGCTCTTCACTGCCTCTGGGGGGGCCTAAGGTGGTGGCCCTCGGGCCTGCTTCCCTGCTGCGCATTTCCCTGCCTCCCCTGGCACTTCTGCCCCCGCAGGAAAACTTCCAAGTAGCCGCACACGGTAGCTCAGGACAGTGCTGGGGTGTGCTCAGTGCTGCCCTAAGGACTCCGTCCTCAGAGTTCCCGAGGCAGGTGGTCATTACCCCGTTTGGCAGGTAAGGACATTGACAGCTGGCGGCTTGCCGAGGTCGTACGGATGGTAAGGGTAAAGTCAAGGTCTGAGCGCAGTCTGGACTGCGGGCCTCCCGTGCTTGCTTGCTGCCCTGCCTCATAAGGTTTGGGGATGACTTTCCTTGATCCCTGTAAACACTGGGAACCGCCCGGCCCTCGACTCAGCCTTGTCGCCAGCGTCCGTTTACCAGAGGGCATGGCGCCTTTTGCGTGTTCTGGACCTCCCCCCAGCTGGAGGAGATGACCCTCCTGCGCACCCCGAGCTGAAGGCAGGGGCTCCCTCCGACTCTCGCCTTGGCCTCGGCCTCGGGAGCTTTTCCCTGGCGGCCTCCTGCATCTGCTCTTTTCTGCCTCCCTGCCGGCGGCCCCGTCCAGTCTCTCATTACTTCCCAGGGACTCCTTATCATTCATTCCATCAAGTCCAAGTTTCTCTGCCTGACTTTCAAGGCTGTCTGTAATCTGAGCTCCCTTTTTATGAACTTGAAGATCTAAAAATGTAACGATCTAAGCTGAACTTTTAATTTATTCGAATTGTGTTTGTTTAGCAAAGTGACCGGCTACTTTGCCCTTTTGATTTGCAGGCGCCGCTGCCGTGTTTGTGGTTGGTTACATCAAGGTGTCCTGGTCAACGTGGGGGGAAGTGGCGCTGTCCCTGTTCTCTGTCTTGATCGCTGCCGCCGTGTACGTCATGGACACTACGGGCAGCATCTGGGTGTGCTACGCATCCTATGTTGTCTTCAGGACCATCTACATGTTACTCATCACTGTAGCCACGTATGTATTCTGAATGAGAGCAGCATTAGGAAAAGCTAGGACAGGATAAAGTGGTTCCTTTGTAGAGGGAATTAAATTTTCTAGTCCAAAGAGGGACGTGGGAGAAAACACTGGGCTGTGTGTGCATTTCCAGTTTGTCTCCTAAGGGAGCATCTCAGCCGGCGGCCTTCACCTCCGCCCCCAACCCTCCTGTTGTCTCGGGTGTCTGCCTGTGATCTGCATCCGTCAGCCACAAGACACTTCCACTTGGTTGGGAAGGGGATTGACAGCACAGGTGGGAGGAGAGCCACTCTTCGTGTTTCAAGGAGGAATTGTGGGTATCTGGGAAGTAATTCTTGTCTACTCACTGTTCTTTCACTTACTTATATTTTCAGTTTTCAGATTGCTGCGAACCTTAGCATGGAGTGCTACGCCCTGGTGTTTGGTGTGAATACCTTCACTGCCCTGGCGCTGCAGACTCTGCTCACGCTGATTGTGGTGGACGCCAGTGGTCTTGGCTTAGAAGTCACCACTCAGGTGAGATCTCTGTCTGGCACTGAGTGTGTTACGGCTTGATGAGGGTGACAACGTCATATTGAAAGCAGATCAAAACAGTGTGCGCACACACAAAGTAGAAAGTGTCCCCCCTCAGTTGTCTCTCGCCCTCGGTTCTTTTCCACTTGCGGGTTTGGAGACCACCATTGCTTCTGATGAGACTAGAACACTTCTGAGTGAGCTAGTCAGCTGCTGGAGCCGCCAGGTGAATCAGGGTCTCCAGGTTAAGCTCTTCTGCCTCCCCGCCCGTGCCGTCTGCCTGGAGCGCTACGCCCCATGAGTGAGGCACCCTCCGCACCTCAGGCCCCCTCTCTCCTTTAAAATGCCCCCTACCCAATACCGGCAAGTGCCTCGCTGTCGGTGAGCAGCCTGATGGTTCCCCCCACATGATGTGCTGAGAAGACCCCCGGCACAGTGGGGAGCCTGCTCATCAGGAGCTGTGCAGCTGCAGATGCCTGTGAGTGTGTAGGGGGGGCCTGCTCTGTACTCTGGCCAGATGGGCGGTGAATGAGAAAGTGCCTGTCCCTCCTCCAGCCCAGGCCAGACAGCCCCTCTTACTCCCTCCATACTTACACATCGGTGTTCTTAGAATACAAAGACCCAACATTCTGGCGGCCATTGACTTTGTTTTTCCTGAAGGCATCTAAAAGAGCGGCTGTAAGAATAGATGATGTGCCTCTAGTGCTTGCTGTGTTCGGGCACGTTAGGTAGAATTTGCAGGGGTGCTGGACGGAGTAGGAAGCCTGAGTGTGAGGAGTTGTGTTGTGAGGTCTCGCCGGCAGTAACAGCGCGGCTGAGCTCCGAGGCACGCCGGCGGCCAGCACGGGCCCCCAGCGTCTGGACAGCACCCCGCTGCCTTAGAGGCGGAGGTGGGGGAGTCGGAGTGGGGGCAGAGTACTTTCCATGTGTTTCCCAGTTACCACCAGCAGTAAAAATCTCAAGACCTCTTGGGGGTTAGGTACTTATGTTTGGGGTGGAGGCAAGGAGAGATACTAAGTGCTTATCATCTTTAGGAATGTGGTTTAAACATAGGGAATAGCAGAATTCTGTGGGCTGTGCTGAAACTAACTGCCATGATTAGCAGGTTCCCTACAGGAATGTATTCAAATTGTGAAGAACCTGTCTCACTGACTTAGAGCAACACTCCTTACTGTACCAGTTCATAAGTACATAGTGAGTGAAAAAGATGAAGATGTGATCAGCTATATAGTCACATTAAGAAACTGGCTTAGAGAAGATTCTTATAAAAAGAAATCCTGTCATGGAATACACCTGACTTCCTCCTGTCCTCTTCTGGGGAAGAACAGAAGTTCTTGATCTAAGGACTTGGCCTGTGAGTCGTAGCCCCCCTGACCCAGTGTAACAGTAACAGAACGGAAGTGCAACCGCAGTTATTACAGCATTAGCACTGGCTGATAAACATCGTGCATGATGTGTCCCTCCATCTCTCCCTCCCCAGCCAGCCTGTAAACTAAATACCATGGATTTCATTTGGGGAGTGAAGTAACGCGCACTGGGGCAGTCAGGCCTCTGCACACCACGCCTGCGGCCTCTTTGTATCCTTAGCTCCTGGCACACCGTGGAAGCACCCAGACTGTTGGAAGGTTTATTGAGAAACTGAATACACCTCTCATTATCGAGTGTGTTCTCATGTATGTAATGAAACTGTGCATTTCTAATGGTGATTTTATCAACTCTTTCTCCCCCATCAGTTCCTCATCTACGCTAGTTACTTTGCACTCATTGCTGTGGTTTTCCTGACTAACGGCACCATCAGCGTTATCAAGAAATACAGAAAACAGGACGGTCCAGAATCAGGTCCTCAAGCAACTACTTCATGATGCACTGCTGACTGACGGCACGGCACCTGAGCCTGGGTGGATTTAAGTTTTTTTTAAATGTGTATTTATGAATGTGCATTTCATGGCTTCAGAGCAGCCAACTGACCTGACTTTGTTCCTAGAGTTACATAATACTGTTCAGAGGAGCCAGAAGTGAAGTTTATGTCACAAATTATTTATGAGAGCTAATTTAAGGATTACTTTTTTTTTTAAATTAAAAAGTGAACTTGTTTTTGAAAATCAGGTGATCAAGGGCACCAAGCAGCACATGGTGGCATATATTTGATAGCAAGTGAGTTGGGTGTTTCACAGGCCAAGTACTTCTGTACCTGACCAGCCAGAGCTTGACCTGGTCGCACTACGGCTCCACAGGGGCCACAAGATTTTTCACAGGTCAGGATGGAAGTGTGTTCTATCAGCACCTAACTGTTCAACGTAATTCTTAGGTTTGTTACTCAGAAGCATTTGTGTTTCTACAGATGAAGGTTGTTGCTATCACTGGCAATATTTGCTCTGGTTTGATGTTCAGTCCTGTAAGGAGTGTCATTTCTGATTTTAAGTTATTTAAAAAAAACTCATTGTCTGAATGTTTTCCGTTCCCATCCTGACAGTTATGTGCTTGTGTAGATTTTCTTTTAATACATTTTTGCATTATTCATATACTTCCTAGAGAAGCTCATTTAGTTAGAATATAGAGTGAGTATTGAGGCCTGCTGATAATCTAAATGAAGAGACCTAGTCAGGAAACAAGTGAATTTGCTTGTCTTTCATTCCTCAGTATGAAGGGCTGTTCAGTCCATGATAAAACTTAGTCAATTGGCTAATTATACAACTAGCCCATTTGTATTTGCATCCCCTTTTACTTCCAAAATAAAACAGATCTTTTTTAACATAATTTCATCCCTATTTCTAATTTACATGTTACTTGTCCTTATCCAAGATAAAGGTGTCCTCAAGAGTTAGATTATCCCAAGGTTTTTTTTCCCTCAGAAGTTGAGCCCTTTTTAAATTATTTTAGTGGCACAAAAAGCAGGATAGACTTGATTCCTGCATTTGTACACTAAATTTGACTTTGTTTCGGAGGGTGGAACATCCTGCATATTTGCTTAAAATAACTGTTAGTGATTCCATCTCCAGGGTTCTTGAAAAAATGTCATTCTGTATACACTTAATTATGAAATCACTCTACCAAATGGCTGCTAGTACAGTGTATGTGAGATATGAAAAGTACTGTAACAGCCTATTCTGTTGCCTTACCTTGAAAAAAATCTAGGGTAACTTTTTTAGAGTGACATGGATCAACAGTGTGAATAATAGTACCAAGATTCCAAAACTGACATAGTCATCTGATGTGAGCAGGAATATTCTAGAAGCAAGTGAATGAGAATCAGACCAGGTCATTTGTATTCACCTTCCTAATTAAGGGAAAGGAAAACGCTAAGGGAATGGGAAGTGATGTCAAAGAAGTAGCAGCCTCTAATTCTACTCAAATATGTAGAAAAGTGGTGTTTGAGGGATCTTATTTAACTTTTTAATAAAATGAGCTACAGTACAATCAAATTGTTCATGTTACCAAAGCACTATTTCCGTGGAATTTAATTCAAAGTCTGTGGCACACAGCTGGAGCCTTTACTTATTCAAGGCAGTAATAAGTTCACCTCGTGGTGTGTGGCCATATCTGTACAATGTTAAGCCCAATTTACAAGTTGTATGCAATTCTACAAAGAAGTGTACTTTTTATTCAATTCTATATAGATTGTTATTTTTATTAAAAAACATTTTACAGTACATTTTCCTTTTTAATCAAAATTAGTTATCTTCTGCTTCAGTGGGTTTGGGTTACATTTTAAAATCTTTTAGTAATTTCTCTTGGGACAGATTCCATGTTAAGCCTAACTACCTTGTCATCCTGTTAATTCCTCCATTGCTTTGTGATCTTTACCTTTGACTTGTCCCTCTTCTGTTATTTTCTCAATTTTTTCCTCATACCACACTGCACTGTTAATTTTTCTTGGTCATCATCTTGGTACCTTTCAACTTTATTTTTAAAACATTCTTCCTTTTAGTAACTGAAAAGACCCACATTCCCTTAGATATTAACTGAATTTTTTAATTTAAGGAAATTAAATCAAAACAAGGGCAGAAGGTAACATCCTGTTTTGAAACTTCATGGCCTCTTCGTTCCAGCCCCATATTCTGCTACGCAGGAGACGATCGATCCTCTTGCTGTCAGCTGACAATCATCTATCTGATCATTATATCCCAGAAACCAAATCAATTTTTTCTCACAGCATCCAAATGAATACCTTCCCTTTAATATCCCATTCCAAAAGCTGCTTTCCTTAAGGTGTTTCATTAATTATCATCAAGGACTTGAAAGTTTTCATGCAAAAAAAGTTTTTAAAGATAAAATTTTCAGTCCCTATAGGTGTATCCCCTGTACCTAATGCCTTTCAGATTGTAAGCTTTCTGAGCAGGGACCATGTTTTAGCTTTCTCTTTTGTGGCAGAACACATCCTAGTACCCTATAAATGTTGAATTATATAAATGGTATGTAATGGACTCAATACTTGCCATGTGTACAATAGCTAAATACCCATTTTTTGGAAGTACATCAACATTAACGTTAAAATGCCTATCAGTCATCTCTAGTCTACTGGACACTTTATTCAAGGCATTGTGCTCAAATGGTAGAAATTGGTACCTATTTGTTCTACTTGTGATGGCATCCTCCATCTAACTAATACTTTACATTTCCTGCACATGTTTTAGTTTCGACAGGGCACTTCTAAACATCTACTTTGATTCTGGAAAAGGGTCTTTTAGAGCCAATTACTTTTTCATTAAGCTGACAGCAGGGAGCTCAAGGTGTTGGGTTTGCGCTCAAAGCTGCGATACATTAGGGAGGTCACTACTGCGCTTCATTCTCCTCGCTGGGGGCGTGACTCCTACGTCGCAGGATTGTTAAAGAACATACATGCCAGTACCTATCAGTAGTGAACTGAGAAATCAGTCCTCTTCCCCTTCCTGCCCATTTACAATTAAATCGTAGCTATCAATCCCAGAAATTGCACACGAAAGGAAACATTTTGAATGTTTAATGCAACATGAAAATGATCAGAGGCTTTTCAACGCTCTCCATATTTAAATTACATTTTGGAAAGCTCGGGATACAGTGATGAGAAAGTCACGATTCCTGCTATCGAGATAAGCAGAAACGGTAACAGACGCCCACCTGTGTTACAAGACAGCATGTCAGGCACCATTAACAAGTCAAAGGCTTGGGTCTCAAGGCGACCCGGTTTGGAAGTCGTGACTCGCCTCCTGCGGCGGTGGCACTTGAGTCGGCTACGCAGGGCGGCAGGCCCTTAACACTCGGGAAGGGACCTGAACCGAGGAAGGAGGCTTACATCAAGGTATGGAGGCCAGAAAGTGGGTCCCAGCAGCAGGAACGCAGGGGAGCGGGGAGGGGCCAGGCCGGGAGGCAGTAGGAGGCGGAGACGGGCCTAGTACTGCGCCTTCCCGCAGTGAGTCTCAGGCGGCGGCGGCCCCGCGGTCACTGCGCCCACGCCCGACCCGTGTCCGTATTTTAAAGGCGGCTGAGGAGCAAATGCGCTGCCCCCGAGGACACCGGGGGCGGGGCAGCGCGGCACCCAGTCCCGGCTGCGGCGGGGAAGCCCAGCTCCCCGCCCGCCCGCGGCCTGCGGCTCCAGAGCAAGCGGCGGGCTCACCGGCGCAGGTGAGCGGGCGCCAGACCCAGCATTTGGTCTCGCCACCCGGCCCGAGGCCCGCGCGCCGCAGCCAGCGCCACGGCCCCACGCGAGCGGCTCGCCGCCTGCGCATCTGCCCCGCTCCCGGCCCCGCCTCCTACGCGGCCGGCTGGGCGCGAGCGCCTTCCCCGCCCTCCTCGGCGGCCCGGAGCTTGCGCACTGGGGCCGGCCCCGCCCGGTGCCCTCCACGCACATCACCCCTCGCTCAGCGCCTACTCACCCCCCGCCCCCGAAACACCACGACGCGCGGGGCCGGGAGGCAGGGTCGTCTTTGGGCGGCAGACCAGCTCGAGTCTCACCCTCCAAAGCCAACCAAGCCAGCCTGGGGAAGGAGACCCTCGGTGAAGGTCATGCACGTGAAGGGCGTCGGCTCTCGGGCTGAAAACGTTCTCGGTAATCAGCATGGACAGCTACGCGCTCTGAAACTGTTTATTACCAAATTGCCATCTTCTGAATTAAGTGAAAGGGGTCAGCAACTCCTTCCAGAGGAAAATCGTACTCTCTAGAAAAATCGCAGGAGGAATCACAGCTAAGAAAAATCATTCTCTTGCCCCAAATTCTGCAATATTAAGAGAAACTACTTGTTATTTGTATATTTCAAAGCCCCCAAACGTATCTGTTTGGTATAATTCCATCTTCTCCCCACGCCACCACCATGTTTTCTTCCCCGTTACCAAGCTGCAGGATTTGACCTTCATTCCCTGCAGAATGCCAAAAATCCTGGAGGACCTACCGCGATGTTCAGGGAGTGCAAAGGGGGCCGTGAACTCTACATCAGTACTTACAGTTTGAGCACTTGGACAGAAACAGCTACCTGGAAATGTCTGCCTAAGTCCTGTGCCTGATTTAAGAGGCCATATGCCAGAGAATGGGCCCACAGTGGAAAATTACCCAAGTCAGGCCTAATGATCTATTCTCATCTCTGACTTTTGAAGTGTGATGTGTTTCTGAGTTTTGCACCTATCCATAGTACTTTTAAATCTCATTCCATTACATAACATAGGGCCTTAACTGTAACGTTTAACATAATTTCTTTTAAGTTGATATATTAATATCTAGATCTTTTGTAAAAGAAAAGAAAATGGGTAATTACAGAATATTTTTCTTGTAGATTTCCACTCATAATTTAACTTTTTATTTTCATTTTGGACATTTAAATATTCTAGAACCTACTTTCACCCCTGGAAAACTATGTAATGATAAATAGGCACCATTTATTGAGCACTGTGTATATGTCAGTCACTGCTAAGCATGTGGATTACTGCACTTAATCTGCATAATCCTAAAGGCAAGTTATTACCTCTATTTTATAGAAGGGGCAACGAGACTTAAAAATTAAAATCCTCTATGAGCTATTTAAGCACAGGAGATAGGATCTATATGTTAATCAACTTTAAAACTCGTTTTTAAAAATATTTTCTATTCTCCAGTTATGGTTTGCCCACTATCCCATTACCATTTTTTGGTAGCATCTTTATTGTTGGCACATAACTCACATATACCATACAATTACCCCTTTAGCAGTCACCCACCTATTTTCTCCCAACAGCGGTCCACTGCCCCACCCTAGGCAACCATTAATCTACTTCATCTATATAGATTTGTCTGTTAACATGTTATATAAACGGAATCATACAGTATGTGGCTTTTTGTGTCTATTTTCTTTCACTGAACGTGTTTTTGTTTTCAAGGCTCATTCATGTTGTGGTATTATCAGTGCTTCACTCTGTTTTATTGCTGAAAATATGCCATTGTATGGATATTCCACATTTGATTTATGCATTCATTACTGGATAAACATGTAGGCCGTTCCCACTTTCTGGCTATTACGTGCAAGGGTGCTATAATGTTCGCAATATTTGTTGTAACATATTTACAAAACATTTGGCCGTGTCAGTGGAAAAAATACTTAGGTAGGAGTTCTGAAATCTAGGGTCTACACTAGCCTTGGTAATACCCCATGCTCACTGAAGGAATTTAAATTAAATCCCTTTGCCCTTGAACAGTAATTTTGTATTTTTTGCCTTTATCAAGTGTTTGGCCTAAGATCTAAATCCTGCAGCATAAGAAACAGGTCATTACAGCTATAAATTCGACACTGCAGCTGGGAAGTGCTTTCAATATTGGGATTTTACCCTTCTACCTTTTCAGTTTTTTTTAAGTTCGTCTATAGTTTGGAGAACACTTTGAAATTCAATTTTACATGGCCCCTCTTTGGAGAAAAGGTGCTTCCATCTTACCACATGATAGAAATTCTGACGATAAAGAACAACCTTGAAAGCACTGCTTGCACCGAGGGCAGTTTCATCGCTCCCGTCTCAGGGGAGTGGCCGGCGCCCGAGCCGCCGCCAGCCCAAGCCGCCCTGCTCTCCCCGTGCGGGGGCCCGTGGGGACGGCGGGCGCGCACCGGACAGGCTCGCAGGCTGCCGGCCGACCGCTGTCTCGGGTAACGACGGTTCGGTTCTGACTGCGGGGCGGGGGACCGTCGGCCCAGCGTCGGTAACTCGGCAGCAACGCAGTCGCCTCCGTGAGAACGGAAACGGCTGTTCGACGTCACGCGAGACAAGTACCAGACGGAAACATACTCCACAAGTCGTTCTGCCCGACGCCACCTGTGGCGACAGACAGCGACGCGCGGGAAAACTCACGGCCAGGAGACGACACCCCGCCGGCTCCTCCAACGCCCGAGGCCGGTGTGCGACGCGCGGCTCCCCGGCGGCGTCTCCCGATACGTCCTGGGGCGCAGGGTCTGTCGGGTGGCCGTCTGCGCTTGCGCCCGCGGCCGACAGGCCCGGATGGAGGATGCGACGCCGTTGCCATGGCAGCGGGACGCCGCCGCCGCCGGCTCAGGTGCTGCGGCTTCCTGCGCCGCGTCGAGAGGGGTTTAGAACGGCCGGGTGCCAACAGCGCTCCGGCCGCGTCTGTGACCCAGTTTCCGCGGCTCCCAGGCAGGGCGGGCATCGCAGCGAGGCGGCGAGGTCCGGAGGGGCGCGTGGGGACAGGGAGGGCGGCGGCAGCGCGGCAGCCTCCGTTCGGTCCCCGCCGGCCGCTGGAAGTCCTGAGCCCGCGGGAAACGGGCATCCAAATAAATGGTTGGTGTACCGGGGACCCCGCGTTCAGACTGAAACCGGCCTCTCCCGTCTGTGAAACAGTGTTTGTCCTCACACTCTGTGACAGATGGCGAATCTCTTGTTTTGATTTAGCCTTGGGGCCCCGTGTTGGCGCGTGGCGCAGGGAGGAGGTTGGGCGGGGGCCGGACGCTCACCGGCTTTGACTCTGCCAGTCCTCTTAGGTTTTCAGCAATGGTGTGTTTAAGGGGCTGTGAGGTCAGACTGTTGTCAGTGACTTTGAGCTGTTCTTGAAGGTTCTGGGCCCGAAGCTGGTACCAGCCCCGTGCGTGCGTGCGGACACCCCGGGGAAGAAATGCCTTTCTGTCTCCTGCAGTTTCCTTTTAACACGGAGGTTCTGGTCTAAGCCACTTACCTAGGTTTTTACTGCTGACACACACACATGAGTGTAAACCTAACGAGGAGTAAGTGTCAGGTGGCTGAGTTTGTGTGAGATGCATTTGTGTTCCTGCTTGTTGACCGTGTCCCATATGGACGTTACCCTGGGGATGAAGATTAAAAGAACTGAACGGGATTGAGTGTCCTGTGACGCATTTGAAAAAGGTTAAGGGACTTGGAACAAGAGTTTAGGAGCTCTGTTCTTTGTTTTCTTGGGAACGGCCGTGAGTTTTTTGAAGTATAAGAAAAGAATGGCACTTCAGATGTGATGACTTCATTTACTTCTCACTTAAACTGTGGCTTTTTTCCCCCTTTCTATTCTATGGCATAATAGTAGGACTAATGACACCTAATATGTTTAATCTGTAACCATTTCATTTGTATTTATTGTGCTGATTCCATGTTTTAGTTTTCAGTTTGAGTTTTCACATGGGTGAGATTTCTTGTAGATAATAAAACATTTATTAGAGTCTTTGGGCAACCATTTATTTGCAAGTTCACAACTATGTTTATTATAAAATCTTACATAGCAATTACATAATTTAAACATCTTACCATAATAAATTCCAGGATCCCTGGCCTGCAAAGAAACCTGATTATCCTAAGGCATTTGTGATTGTGAAAAACAGTAGTATTTATATAAGTATTTATATATTACAGTGTGTTTTAGTTTATTCTACATCATTCTTGGCACCCTTGCTTTTAACTGGGAGGTAAGTAGACATAACAGCTTAGGTAGTATAATCTGTCTTGCAGCGAGGCAGTGGTAAATAAACTCAAACTGAAATACTGATTTGGTTTCTCTGGGTCACCTCAAAATATTATTGTTCCCAACCTCTGCTTCTCAAATTATTGAAGCCTTACTTTGAGTCCTTTAAGAATGTCCATTTTGTATTCTTAGTTTAAAGAAATAAATGTCTAGAATTATAATCCAACTAATACATTAGATATAGTTATAATTATCCAGTTAAAAAATTAAGTCAAATAATAAACATTCAGTATACTTGTCTTGAGAGAGAAAGGGAACCAATATCAAGACCCATGTAGAGGAAAGATGACAGTTAAGTGAAACAGATTTAAGAAATTTTTTAAGTCATGAATTTTATTATTCAGACAATGACCATTTTAGGTTAAGCTTTGTCATGGTACTGTGCATTTAATTTGAAATTCCCATGCTTTTCATGAGTTGGCAGTTACTTGATAATTTGTATCATACAGAAAAGTTTAAAAGAAACCTTAAGGGTCATCTAGCTCAACCGTCCTAAAGTTTCAGTCTCCTTTGTCACTGAGAAGAAACACTTCAAAGAAGCAGCTTGCTTCACTTCAGGACCAGCTGGAAATCGTAACTTCCATCTTACATGCCAGAATTTGTCCTTGAGCTTCATTCCTTGAGAGATACTAGTTTTACTACTAGTAATCATGCAAATCCAATCCTCCTCCGCGTAGCAGCCATTAAATACTGTGAAACAACTGTTGGGACTCTCCTGTGGTTTCTCTTCTTGAGGCTGATATTCCCAGGGTTTTCAAGTATTCCTCAGAATCTGGTTTTAAGACGTTTTCTTCTCATAGCCTTCCTTCTTCCCTTCTCCTCCTCTTTTATCCCCCTTTCTCCTGGTTTGATGGCTTCTGACTTTTGTTCCTTAAGCTGTTATGTAAGAAACTGGATATTACCTCTTTCTTACCAGTCTCAGCGAGGAAGCTTATTTGTATTTTGGGTGCCCTCATCAGTATTTTAACTCATTTTGCACTTACAAAAGATTCTTTTGTTTGAAAAATCATACACAAAAAATTAAGGAATTTATAAAAAAAAATTTTGAGTTGACAACAGTTTGACTTTTGTGGAAATCAGCATTTACCATAATTGAGAATCCTTTGTAATTTAGTTAAAAAGCCCTCAGTTCACAAATCATAATTATGCCATGTAAATTACTAGAAGCATTCAAGACTGAGGATGGGACTTGATATACTGTTTGTCCCCCAACCCCCGCCCCACCCGCTATCTGAAAGTTCACTTTATACCACTTCACTTTTAGGAAAGACCTACATTATACCCGTTTTTGCTAAATGAAAGAAATCTGGAGAGTATTTTTGCTTCTCTGAGATGGTAACTACTTCTTTGTTCTATGCTGTTTGAGCCTAAGAAAGGCTTCGTGGGGCCTGCTACTCTCAGACAGTGGGGGCCTCTACTTGTTTTTATTCGGACAAAGGAAATGTGCGTGAGTGCGACTTAGAAGCCAGTCATCTCTCTGACCTGGACAAGGGGTTTTAGTGACTGGCAGGGGGTGTGGAAAATCCTTCTGTAAGCCTCAGATAGTCTTATCTACCTTTCCTAGTTTCCTTGTAAATGAGGGTTTCAGGAAGTGGGGGCAGGTAGGCTGGTCGCTCGGAGTGGTACACCTAGAAAATGTCTGCCATTGTAAGTCTCTCCTTTAGGATGTACAGATACAGGTTCATTCTGACACTCCATGTTTTTGTGTTTCCATGTGTTAATCAGCTTACCTTCAGCATTGATCTCCATACTCCCAGCTACCCCGCAAGTGAACATAACATTCCTTATCTCTTTTACTAATACAGCATTATTATTTAACAAATGGAAAATGGATGAAAATAAAGATATGGATTCAAAAGAAAGTGGAGAATACGAAGATGACTTTGAAAAGGACCAAGAATGGTTAATTAATGAAAAAGAAACAAGTGGTACCAGCATAACAGAGGTATATGTAAACTGCCAGCAGCATTCATAATCATTACATTAGCAAAGTGCTTGTAATTCTCCAAGTTTCACTTATACTATCTTGTCTAAACCTCAAAAAATTCCTTTGATGTATATAGGGGTAGTATCATCCCCATCTTAAGAGATGAGAACATTGAGGCATAAAGAGTTTACATGTTATATCCTAAGGCATGGGCCTAACAAAAGAACAGGCATTAAGTTAGTACCTAAGTTAAAATTATAAATTATAATTTATATAATATAAATAAATAGTATAATTTATTGCATTGATAAAAAGTTAATTTCTGCTTTATATGACTTGGGGACAATCATGGGGTTGTATTTTTAATGTAAATGAAAAAGTAAGCAAAACCTCAAAAAACATGGTCTTCCAGCTAATATTTGAAACCTTAAGGCTGAATTAGCTCCTCAGAGGAATGAATATAGAGAGAAATGTAAAGGGTCAAGGACTGAGCCAAATATACTGGAAAAGTGGATACATTAAACATGATCACATGCTGTGCATCACACACATGGAGGGAAGTTCAGGAGGAGAACCGGCCCTGGGCCACAGAAGGTTCCCGCTCTCTTGGCGTACACGTGGTTCGTGCACACCGTGTCTGTGTGTGTCTGTGTGCAGGTGTACGTAGCCACAGAATTAGTGCTGATAAACAAGCAATGAACCTGAACTAGGGTAAGAGTAGGGAAGTTTAGAGGGACAGTGAACTGAGTGGACACTGCGGAAGCTGAGTTAAGAGGGTCAAGGAAAAGAATATGAGGAAATGAAGGAAACAGGTTTCACATCACAAACTTCTCTGAGCTCCATCGTGCTTTCTTATGCAAGAGAAGCCAAACGGAGTAGATATTTGAAAAAGGCAACAACCAAAAGTAAATATTCTTCTAAGATGGCTTTTAAATGAAAGTTCTGTGAATCTTTAACAGAAAAATAATCAGAATGAGTAGAGGCAGAGATACTCAGACTGGAAAGGTTGAACCAAGGCCTCAGGCCTGGAAGGGTGTGGGACCCAAAGGCCAGGGTTTTGCCCTGGGTGTGCACATGCATTGCCCTTGGTGTGCTCATAAACACAAATTAGAATTAGGGAAGCAATGATAATTCGTTGTTTAATTTCTTTGTTCATTCAGCAGATATTAACAACCACCTACTGTGTGTGAGAGGCTGCTTTGGCTGGGCGCTGGGGATGCGGCAGGGGTCCAGCCCAGTGCTGGCAGTGGTTGATTCTAATCACTTCTTCCTGTAAGGCTTTTAGGAAAAATGGACGACAGAAACAGGGAGAGGACTGGGGGAAGATTGCATTGTGAGAAGTAGCAGTTTTATTGCAGCAGCTTTTACAAAGGCAGGAAGGGAAAGCCCAAGGAGAATTCGGAGACAGA